CTGTAGGTAAATTTTATCCTACTTATAGTAATAAAAGTAGGCCAATTGAAGAATGCTACAATGTTGAATGGCCAGAATCAAAGTCCAAGGACGAGTGGGTATTGATTTTGCAAAATCTCACCAGTACTTAAGTTATATAAAGAGCTCCATGGATGCCACAAAAAGCCATATTGTACAAGTGTGGTGACAAGCCGTGGATTCCATTCTTAAGGCCATAGAGAGGTATAAGCTATGCTCTGACAATGTTTCATTAACAACTGAGGTTCGAGCAGTTTATTCCTATGACTCATGGGCTTCAAGAATTAGAATTCTTTTTTGAGAAGCTAGGATTTAGTGAAAGAGTGAAAGAGATTATCAAAGAATGGAAACAAACCTAAAGAGTGGATCATGGGAGATATATGGATAAAGCCACACCTGAATATCTGATATGAAGGAGTCAACATTTCATAAGCAAAGTTGGTCCCAAAAAAGACAAACTATCTCACCAAGAAGACGCCTACTGTGAAAAGATCCTTAAAGACATGAAGATTATGAAGTGCAAATTTGAAGAAAAAAAAATATAAGAGCAAGAAAAGAAAAGGTTTCAGCATGAGATTAATGAGTGGAAAGATAATACTAATAAGAATGAAGCAAAATCGTAAAAGCTTGAAAGAGAATAAAAGATTATTTTTATATATTATTTTAATATGATTTTAAAGATATTTAAATAGATTTAGGAATAAAATAATTACTTTTACTTTATCAAAATTTAAAAAATATATAAAAGCTAAAAAAAAATATAATTTAGTTTGGTTCGATTTGATTTTTTTTATTTTTCACTTTTTGATCCAAAATCTGATCCGAACTTAATACATATATTTAATATTTGAACTTAATTTAAACCACTTAAGAAAAAAATAATCCGAATTGAATCGAATACTATGATTTCAAATTGATTTTCGATTTTTTTTCACCTTTCTGGAAGGTTTGGAAAAATCAAAGAAAAAAAAGAAGAGAATGGAGAAGAGAGGAAATGGAGATGAAACTGGGTCTAGACGTGTTGGGCCTAAAGCAATAAACACAATAACTTAGAAGCAATATATCGCAATAAACCTGTAATAATAGACAACAATCAATAATCAACAACGCAGGAAAAATAAAAGCACACCAAGATTTACGTGAAAAACCGTCTAGTATAGAGGAAAAAACCATGGACCATCAAAAAATCTTCAAATAATGGATATACAAAGTTCTTCTCTAGCTAAAACTAGAGCTAATCAACAACTAGAGAGATAGTTAAAGAAATCTCATCAAATAGATGACTCATCAAATACACCTTAGATTTGTTCCTAAAGAGCTTCGAATCCGATCTTCACCGTCCAGAATGTAGAACTCTGAACTATAAACCTACTGACAAAGTTTCAGCTCAATTGGATCATGGATCAACTTCCGTTCAACCAATTCTCACTTATCTTTTTCTCTCTACTTTTCCTAGCTTTTCTTTTTCTCTTCTTGGTTTTGCGACACTATCTTAAAACAACCCCACCTTTTTTTATTAAGTAGCTAGGACTCTATATAAAAAGAAAAGACTAAAGTCATGGCCTTTGATTGGTCCAAAACTAATTACATGGGGCTGGACCCCATTTTCCTAACAAAAGGATCAATTTCGATCTGGTAGTTGGTAGCTAGAGTAGGTGTCCGAATCGATATGTGTTCTTATACCTACTTTTAGACCGCCCTTGCTTCATCGTCTCACACCTCTGTCTCCATTTTGTTTTCTCTCACTGTTGACCTCTACCATGGCACAAGTCGTAGATCTTTTCCTCTATCTCTATCGATTTTTTATTCTTTAAAATTTTGTTATTGAATAAAATTTCCTTTACTAATTTTGTTAAAGTATTATTCTTGCTATAATTAACTTTGAAGTTTTCTAAAGTTGAGCTTTTTCTTTTGTTTTGATTTTTGTAGGAGGCGATGGATTCAATGGAGGTGTGAAAAATCCTGCTATTACCAAGCCTACTCTTGGTTTGTTTCACACAATATATCTTTTCTTTCCTTCTTTTCTCTTGAAATTTCTATCCCATTTACTTTTGCTGTGTGATTCATCTAATAGTTTCTTTGTTAGCTTTTATCAATTGTTCCATAAATGGCTATAAATTTAGATTCTAAACACTTGATTTAAAAATGACCTATCGGAAGAAGGATAATACTTGGAGAAGTAGTATAGGATAAGAATCAGTCTTTCAAGAATTACTGATGCAGAGTTTATTTCGTTATCATTCCTGTATAGTTTTCAACTGATACCTAGACAAAACAAATATTTAATGCATTGAACAATTGATAATTTCGACAAGATGGCAAGATTTTTTGCACCTAGAAAATTGAACGGTGCTCTAGTCTGGTGGTAACAATTTTAATTTACCAAACAATTACAACCTTTTGAAATTTGAGACGATGGTGATACGAATTCATCATTTTTTATCACAAAAAAATGAGTACTGTATTTCAACTAGTTGTCCTATGGGGCTCTTGCTTTAAGGGCAAATTGTCAAGTGCACATGCCTAGCTTCAAATTCCTTAGTTGCACTGCTGTACTTCCATTAATTCCATAGTTAGCAAAGAATAATAATAAAAAAAATTACATGCATACGCATTACAAAATAAATAGGAGTAAGAGATAATCTCTCCCATAAGATAGTTAGGAATTAACTATTATATGAATGAAAAGGAACTTCTAATCAAAGAATGAAGACTTGAAAAAAAAATGAATGAATGAAAAGGAAAGTCCTCCAATCCGATTCAACAAATGAAGATCTAATTAAAGTTGTTTTTCTTAAAACTTATTGATTTGTTAAGTTGCTTTTTGAATACAGTAAAGAAGTAGAATGACCTGCATTGGATACCAATTTTTGTCAGGTGATAAATCTATAATCCTTAATTAGAATTGGATTAAACCAAATGGTTATACTTATCGGTGACAACTTTTATGCTATTTTACATTTTTAATTGAAGCCAATTTTTGTCAGGTGGTACATCTATAATCCTTAATTAGAACCGGATTAAACCAAAAAGTTATATTTATTGGTGACAACTTTTTACGTTAATTTACATTTTTAAGTGCTTATTTATTATTAATTTAAAATTTTATATACTTAATTGCTACGTAAACTTTTGATGTATGTGGTTTAATTTAGATGTCAATTAAAATTTAGGAACTAAGTGTTTGCTTAACAAGAATAGATGCGAAGAGGCATTTGGTTGTTCTAATGCTAGGTACCTTTTTAATTTTCAATCTTTTATGCTATATGCTACTATATATGAAACCATGATTGGGATCATACCTTTCTTAAACGTCAATTGATTATTGAGCTTTTTGATTGTAATATTTTATTTTATCAAATGATTAATGTTGATTGCTAAGGTTATTAAAACTGATAGATTTTCTAGGTTGATGGTTTAAGATTTTATGATTTTTTTTTTTTTTTTTTATGGATGACAAATGGGTAAAAGGATAAGAAGTTAAATATTCCGAAGGCTAATAGCTTGAGGAGTCAAACGAGTAATTTTAGCTCCTCTACTTGATTATAAAAAATTTATATATATAAAGATATTTTTATTATACTCCCACAATATAGTGTGGGTATTTTTTTTTTAGTTTTCTTTGGGCACTTTTCTAATTTTCAAAATGTGTATATATTTTTTATTTGGACTCACTGTTTATTTTATAAATTCCACGTTATTTTTATTTTTTTTGAAAATTTTCAAAATTTCATGTAAAGAAAATCAATAACATATAAGCAAAATCAATGATTACGTCAACAAATTTCACAATGCACATTTAATATAATTATCAATTGCACTAATATTATTAAATCGTTATAATAAAAAGATTCAATTTATATGAATTGTATGATAAGGATTAATTCTTTTGACCGTATAGAAAGATTGATTTCTTAATTTAACTTTTTTATTTTACTTTTATGAATATTTAAGATGCCACAGAACTAAGACAAAATTTAATGCACCAAAATGACAGAGTACCTATATCTATGCCATATTGTCTACAAAGCACAAAATAATTGGTATTTTTGGTTTTTATATTTTGGTTGAAAATAAATAATTCTTGGTTACGTTAGTAGAATGGAAAAACAGCGGGGAATACCAAAGTTGAGCTTAGTTTTCTACCTCATATTAGCAATACCTTTCCGAACATAAGTAGGAAGTTGTTCTACACTATCAATATGTTAATTTCTGTTGCTGTATGCTACTTTTGTTCTTTAATCTTTGTATTTGAAGTTTTAACTCAATTGTAATTCATCACATTAACATCTTGTGGTTTTCATGACAAGTTTCTCCTGCCTCTTTCGATTGATGAATACACTTTAATTATCCCATAAAAAAAAGAAAAAAACTAGGATGAAAAACCTTGTGGAGGGCTTTTTGTTCAAGACTTTTTAAGAGCTGCCAACTCCTATCAGAAACTTTATTTGATTGCGTGAATTAGCATCAAGCTCAAGTGATAACTTCAATACAAACCCCTTTTTAAATAGAATTTAATTTTACATATGCTTTATGCTCCATCCAGTAATATAAAACAGATTGACAATTGGGAGGTTTGGGGACCCAATATTTAGTAGTAGTAGTAGTAGTACTACTACTGCTACTGCTACTGCTACTGCTACTGCTACTGCTACAATATTAAAGGAAACCACATGCAGCAGTATCCAAAAACAGGGAGGCCACAATATTGCTTTCTGTTCTGTGCCTTCCAAATAGAATTCTGGTCCATCTCAACTCCCACGTCGAGAAGCTTCTTCTCTGAGCTTTTTGGTAGCTCAACCTTTACATTTCCTCCATTGTTTCAGCCTTGTTGGTGCTCCTAGTTTTCTCCAATCTCTCACGAGAAAGTCGAAAGGAAATCAATGTGAGGCTTGAGCTTTCCCTTTATTGTCATGAACACAACAAATATTAGTTCCTTTGCTTTAACCTAGTTGTTTAATCTCCTAACTCGACTAATATCCATGTTGGAAGAGGCACTTGTTCACCTGGGTCTGACCAAGCCAACAGAAGTTCATTTGGCTGATGACCATCAATATCCCACAAATTATGTTGTTTCAATGGACAGTACTCAATCTCCTTCGTCCCCCGTTCTAGCCCCAGTCAAAGTGGAGACAACATTGATCAAAAACAGCCTGCAGATTGTGGAATATGGCAATTTCATCAGAAGGTTTCAAGTGCACGAGGATGATGATGATGATGATGATGATATGACCTGCGTTGTATGCTTGAACTATATTGAGAAAAGTGATGAGATTAGAGAGCTCAGCAACTGTTCTCACGTGTTTCATCGAGAGTGCCCGGATACATGGGTTAACAATGATCGGGTTACCTGTCCTCTCTGCCGATCGACACTGTATCAGATTCAATGGATCATATAGACTTAGTATGTGAAATTTTGAGTTGGAAGCAAATTCATAAATTAAAGGTTTGTTTGAATGTTACTTTCACCGGTTTTTTTATTAGTAGTCATTTTATTATCCCAAAGAAAAGCTGTTACAAATTAATTATATTGCTAGCAAAACTATTAAAAGATTTATGTGATACATAGTATATAAAGATTATATACTATCATAGATACTTTATTAATAAGCAAAGATAAAACTTCAGTCAAATTATAATAAGTAAAGGTCTCTATACTTTAAAAAAATTTGGAATTTAATCCTATATTATAATTCATAAAAATTTAGTGCTCTTATTATTTTGATTGAATAATTTTAATCCAATCACTATCTCTACTAATTTTTTTATAGTTCAAATGTAATGCAACTATTGACTTGATGACATAAGTGTTGACTTTATTGATGTGGTGTTAACTTATTGACATAGCAATTTGGATGGATCAAATCAATTATTAAATTATGTAAATATTCATTGACTCATACGAAATTTGAAATTTAATCTTTATATTCGTACGAAATTTGAAATTTAATCCTTGTATTTATACAAAATTTAAAATTTAGTTCATTTAATACAAAAAATATTTTGAATTTTTAAGAATTTTTTAGTTTTTTAAGTATTTAATTTAAAAAATATTTAATTCCTCTAATATAACATTTTTTAAAAATATATTAGTTATTATTATATATTATTAATTATTAATAATATTATATTAATAATAATATTATTATTTATATTAATCAATATAATATTAATAATTTAAATTAATATATCAAAGTTAATATTATTTTAATTAATTTAAATATATCATATAACAAAAATTCTATAATGAACTAAACCATTGAATAGAATTGCATTTGTAATGAATCCAAAATAGATCATTAATGAAATGACCATTCCATCCAATCAAACAAAATAAGAGATTCAAACTTAAATTCTTACGAGAGACAAATTCTTATTTATTTGAAGCACAAATTTTGAATCCAAGCAAAACGAAATGAGGAAATAATTTTTTCGATAAATTGAAATATTAATATTGTGTATTATAATGAGAATTTTTAATTTTTTTGTGTCTTCACAAAAAAATAGCTTTTAAATAATTATGTTAAATTAAATAATAAGATTAATTTAAAATCATGTTAAATTTAGTAAATTATTTTATTGTATTTAAAATCTTGAACCTAAATTTGATTATAAGAAATCATTTAAATAGGGTATAATTTAAAGGAATAGAAATATTATTTGATGGATAATTTTACATTTATGGGATGTAATTATATTCATTTAATAAATTAATAAAAATAATTTTAATAAAATTAGATAATGACACATTTTTATCATATATTAACAAATTTATAACAGATTTGTGTAAGATTTTTTTCAGTTGGCCACAATATACTATAATTGTTACAAAAAAGTATGACAAAATTAGTAACAGATTTATATTTTATGACTAAATATAACAAGAAATAGTGACAAAACTAATAACAATATTTCACATGGATAAAAAAATTGAGATAAATTTAGCAACAATATATGAAAATTGTAACAAAATATTGTGATAAATTTAGCGACAATATATGAAAATTGTAACAGATTATTGTGATAAAATTTTCAATATTATGATAGAATACGATGAGAAAATATTGTAATATATTTTTAAATTTTAATATTTTCAAAAAATAAAAAATTTTAAAAATATTCAAAATATTTTTTATATTATAAAGATTAAATTTCAAATTTGTGCGAGTACAGATACTAAATTTCAAATTTTGTATAAATATAAGAATCATTTGTATAATTTAACAACTAATTTTATTAATTTCAATTCTCTCGTCAGTAAATTAATACCACATCAACAAAGTCAACACCATGTTAACAATGATCACGTCAGCATTTTTAATGATAAAAAATTTACGAAATTACTTATTAAATTAAAATTATTAAATCAAAATAGTAAAAGAACTAAATTTGTATGAATTATAATAAACGAATTAAATTTTAAATTTTCACAAAATATAAAGACTTTTGACATAATTTAACCTAAAACTTCAAATATTGTCCATAATAAATATTCATATACTTTAATTGTTTCCATGATAAATATTCATATACTTTAATTGTTTAACTGAACAAAAGTAATTTACTGACAAATTTTCTTTTCGTGGTTAAAACTTCTTTAAATGGATTTTTTTTTTTTTTTTGCTTAAACTTCATGCAATACCAATTACAAAAACCCAAACTAAAAATAAAACTAAGGGTCTAGATTTCAAAATAATTTTAATTTCAACACTACTTTTCATTGAAATACTAATTTTAGTTGAGATTGTCTAACTTTCAATTATATCATCACTTTAAAGGCAAAATTTGTAGAATAAAAAATATATTATACTTTTAAAATCTTGCACTATTTGAAACAGGAAAATTAGTTTTTTAAGTTGGTGAAAGCATTTCTGATTAATATAATAATTTCATTAATAATTCCTATCCAGAATTCTGTTCATTAACTGGGCCTTCTTAATGGGCTCAATTCCAGCCAACCCAACTGAGAAAGAGAATAGGTTAAAGAAAAAACCTTTTAATCAGAATTTGCTGCCCCGACTCCACGATTCTATCATCAGTGGTTCGGCCACGTAAACATTATTGATTAAAAAATTGAATATTTTCTCATTAACGTGTATACATCAACAATTATTAATTTGAATATAATTTATTTTGCTATGAAATTTAACTCAATTAATTTATATAATTTATGTAAAAAAAAATTTAATAAATCTATAATTTAATTCTTCACATTTAAATTATTTCCCTATCTCCAGACCCCTTTTTATAAAAAGAAATATAATCTACCATACTTTTAACAAAGTAATAAATCTTAACAGCCCTCGGATCGATGAATAGAACTTTGGAAAAGGTCAATAAGAATTAAAAGACCAAATCTAAGGCAAAATAAAGTCTGATTACACCTTTCCATATGAAGTTTTGTATGCTAGAAAGTTTCCAAACGGTGACTTTTCTTTTCTTACAGGGGCTGCAGGCTGCTGTTAATCGATCCCATGAATCATCAGACTACTTTTCTTTATTTTGAAAAAGACCTGTTGTCTACTTTATAATTTTTCTTTGCGTTGCACCAACGATATGATGTTAGTAGAAAGATACATCATCTGGCACAATACTAAATTGCCGTCAACTTCATTGAGCCAATGCCTAGGCTTCCTTTGCCACCCTATTTTCTTCCTTTATAACTAGCCAACTAATTCTTCTGGAAACATAAATAACCACTTCAACTGCTCCAGTGTTTAAGCACTTTTTTTTTTGTTGCTCCTAGTTTTCTCCGATGTCTGTACTCAGAAGTCATAGGGCTTTCCCTGTCTTGCCCATGAAGATGAACAAATGCATCCCTTCTATGTTCTTGTTAACCCTTGTAGAGTACTTCAAGTTATTGTTCAAAAAGGCATTCACTCATCTGGGTCTGCTCAAGCCACCGCCAGAAGAAGATTATTATTCTGCTAATCATTTCAGCGGTTATGTTCTATTGATGGACAGTCGATCTCGTTCCCTAGTTCCAGTCCCTATCCAAGTTGTGACAGAGATGATCAAGCAGAACCTACCGGTTCGTGAATATGGCAACTTCATCGAAAGATTTGGAGATGATCATGAGCAAGTGGAGAAGAATACGATATGCACTGTATGCCTAGATTCAATGGAGAAAAATGATGAGATGAGAGAGCTCTGCAAGTGTTCTCACGTGTTTCACAAAGAGTGCCTTGATACATGGGTAAACGAGGGTCAGGTTACTTGTCCTTTGTGTAGATCCACCTTGTATCCAGACCGGATAGATTGGACGGGCAGGGCAACATGTTCATGGATCATTAATTAATTTGTGTTAAACTAAATTATACAACTATAAATATTAAATAAATATATAATCTTATTTCAAATCCACGAGCTTAATTTCAAAGGTTTGTGCCAATATTTCCACGACTACTCTTCTTATTTTCTGGTCATTTGAATTTTTTTCAATGCATGTTTAACGAGTCAAGGATGTGTTTGGTTTAAAAAATTATGATAAGATAAGATAAAATAATATTATAAATAAAATTAGATTGAATAATATCATTTTATCTTGTATTTGATTTGTGCAAGGATTAGAATATGATAATTTATTTATTAATCAAAATTATCCGTGCTTAAAGTTTATGAGTTAAAAATAATTCTCTCCACTTTAAGAGGATTGAATCATCATATACCAAAAAGATGATTAATCCTTCTTATAATCTTATCTTTTTTTTTTATATATACAAACCATACATAATATAAAATAATTATCATTCCTATCTATCATCTATGCTCCAAATACTACCTAACCAACCAAACATAGCATAAGAGAAAGTATTGGGTGAATCAATTATGGCATATCAGTTTTTATCTTATTCCAATCATTTAATGTCATCACATCCATTTTTTTATGTCATTTAATCCATTAGTAACAAGAGTTCTCTAAAAATTTCATACATGTAACTTGATCATCCTAATTATGTTAATATTAAGATATAGATATAAAATTGTTGGAACATTTTCAATAATAATATATTACATGAATTACATGTGATGGTAAAAAGTTATGTTCCTTTAAAAGACATGATTATTTGTTAAAAGTTGTGTTTGAAAAATTATGTCTCAATGGACACATATTTGATTCGTTATGTTTATACAAATATATATATATATATATATATATTTGATAGTCATGTTTGTACAAAAAGATGACTATTTTATTATAAATGCATCTCTGATTTTGGTAAATAGAACAATTTTTAGATATAGCAATTCATGTTAAATTCTTCCTCTATTATTCAAATAAATTTCAAATTATTTTCATAAAGTTTTGCAATAGAAATTCTTTATAAAAGAACAGTAGTCTTGTTATATGCTAGTGAATGTTCAGTGAATTAATTTCGTCAATGTAAAATACAATCAATCATTGGGCTTTATTATATCTTTGAGGTTTATTGTCAATAGCTCTTTTACATACCAATTAATCAAGTGATTGGGGTGAATAAAATCTTAACTAGCATCGTTACACGCTTCGAAACATTTCCTCAATTTCTTATGTTTTTCTAAACCCCGAGTTGTAACAATCTTAAAGTTTTATTCCACACAAAAAAATTTTGATTGAAGGCTGTAAGTGGAAGACATGGACAGAATTATGGTTTACTGACACAAATTTTTACACCAAGTTCAGGATTAAAATAAAGTTTTATCAATGTTTGTTTTATTGAAATGAATTCTTTTTGGGACAATTAGTTTTTTGGAACAACCTATATCGTGCAATAAATTCAAGATCACACAAAGTTTTATTCAACTTATATCACTCCTGGTATTCGGTTAGTGTTCAATTTTCCATTCATTATTTCATCTTAGTGAGTCAATTAATTTCATGATTATTTTCTTATTACATGACCAAAAATTTATTAATTGAGAATTTCAAAAGCTCCCTGGAATTAATACAACATAATGGTTAGTATGTAAAATTAATAGGATGCAGTTTTCTTTTTTATTACATATAAGAAAGATATGAACAATAGAGATACAATGTTATTCCTCTATCTTCTAGTTAACACATTACTGCTTAAGGGCATCGAGACATTTTTGTTTCTTATGCTAGTGAAAATGGCCTTTTGTAGGTTGTTAAAATGAAAAGTGTACAAGTTTCCATAGATTTCAATAGTTTCATGATAATGGCAAAGATATGACTAATTATAAACCATATTAACAAATGGGTTTAAATAATAATATTGGCTTATGAAAGTCGTAAGCCTTAGAGTTAGCCAATAAATGATTTAACCATAGCAAATTTGTCATGAGTCTTTGCACGAAATGTGAATAATGTCTTTGACAAGTGTTAAGGGATAACATTGTTATTTTCCATAAGATCATGCTTATTAATTAATTAAGTGAATTTTGTTAAACATTCTAGTTACTTTATCAATTAATTTTTTTATAATTTTGGATTTAACAAGGAATATAAGAACACATTATAGTTTTTGTTGATGCTATTTTATGCAAAATGATTTTTGGAATTATGATTCATGACTTGTATTGGCATGGGGATCTGGATATAGAATATAATCACAACATGATTGTATAAGCATTTGAAATTAAAGCTAAAGATACATTGGACTCTAATTTCACATAGACATATTCATCCTATGATTAAAGTTTTAATTTATTATACATTTAGAAATATTATTATGACCTATTTGTGTGATGGACTTGGTTTTGATTAAAACCATAAGGTTAATAATGTCTACGATAAAAAATGTATATCTGTATGATATTTTGATAATCACCTGACAGGCTCACATATTGATTGTCCTTTAGTATGACTATATTCTAAAAGGATATTTGCAATACCTTGTATATATATGTAACTTTACAAAAAGTCTTGTTACAAAAAGTATTACATAGTGAGAGCCACTTCTAATATCCTAATGTCTGGTATGATCCTAGTTTTATGGATCTATGTATAATTTATGTTAGGTTTGATGAGGATATTAAGCTTGGTTGGACTTGACAAGGACGTCAAGTTTTAATGGAGAGAAATTGTAACGCCTTCAATCCCACATTAAAAGAATGTGAGGATATGATACGATATATATGTTGATCTCTAAACCCATACCTACGATGCGCTTTTTATAGGATAAAACCTTGAGACTTTTTGGTCAAAATGATAATACCTCACAAGTTAGATGCAGGTATTGAAAAATGGTATCAGAGATGTCACCAATCGAATAGGAGCTAAGTGCTACATTTTATGAGTCATATCTAGGAATTAAGTGCTACACAGTAGTAGGTACCTTTAGAATTTCAATGTCTAGTGTGATCCTAGTTTTGTGGATCTATATATGTTTTGTATTGAGCTTGACAAGGATATCAAGCTTTAATGAGAGAGATTGTGACACCCTCAATCTCACATTGAAAGAATGTGAAGATATAATATGATATATAAGTTAAGACTTAAATTTATACTTGTAAGGTGTCTTTTATGAGACAAAACCATGAAACTTTCAAGTCAAAATAGATAAAACCTCACAAGTTCGATGTAAGTCTTCACAAATAGTATCAGAGTAGTCAACAATCGAACGGAGGCTAAATGCTATACTGTGAGAGTCACATCTAGAATCCTGAGAGAATTAAGTGCTACACAGTGCGTGCCACCTTTAAAATCCCAATGTCTAGTGTGATCTTGATTCTGTGGATCTGTGTGTGCTTCATGCTGGGCTTGATGGGGACATTAAACTTTGTTGGGTTTGACAAAGACATTAAGCTTGAACGGTGGAAGATTGTGATACTCTCAATCATATATTGAAAGAATGTAAAGATATGATATGATATATATGTAGAGATATAAACTTATACTTGTAAGGCTCTTTTTATAAGATAAATTCATAAGACTTTTAGGTCAAAATGGATAATACCTTGCATGTTGGGTACGAGTCTCCACATTATATATATTAATTCCTTCTTTTATGCCAAGATTAGTTGAAATGTTTTCACCTTATAATCCTGTTTTAGAGTAACCAAGGTTTATAAACTTATAATAATCAATGTCACACCCTTTTTAGTTATACAAAAAAAAAGTTTCTTATAATTTTCATGTATATCTAACCAAAAATTTAACATGTCAACAGAATTTTATAAACCTGACTAAGGTTCTGAGAAAGTTGTCCAGATTTGATATCTATAAAAAGAATAGGAGTGTCAAAAAATTAGAAAAAAAATAGTAGCTAAAAACAAAATTTAAGGTAATTTGAAAAACAATAAGCAAAACAAAGATTATATATAGAGATAAAAACCCCACCCAAACTAGCAAGCTTAAATCCTTCCAAAATAACATAAAATAGATGCAATGGCTACAGTAAAATGTAATACGATTAATAAAAATTTTAAAAATATGTAGTCTAATCTTATTTAAGTTACAAAAATCTACAAATTAAGAAAAATGTAGCAACCTACTTATGCTTTGGTGGCAAAAGGAGAAAACTCCCTTATTTTACATGATTTTAAACATGATACACTTAATGTCAAAAAAGCTCCACCTAAAATAACCCTAAACCTAATGGTAGATGTGCTTCCTGTCAACATGTAAAAAAGAAATCCCCAAGCTAAAAGGATAAAACCTGCCAAGGACACATACACAAATGAAATTTTAAGTTTTTTTATGAAGTTAAACTTTTTTAAAAACTGAAAAAAAGGGATCAAGTTATAGGACATAAAAGTCCACAATTTTTAGCACCAAACATTTACTCAAACCTTCACAATTTTTAAAAATGAATGAAAAAATTATTAAATATGGAATGTCAAGCATTTTAACTATGATAACTTTTACATTTATTATGCCTTATTGTATCCGAATCTTATTACCTATAAAAAAATGATTTTAAAGGGAAAAACCAAGTAAGAACAATATCCAAACACATTAACCAAATGCACAAAGCAAGATTTCCCTCTGATTATCATTTTCAACTTGTATTTCATGGGTTGAAGATAAAATTCTTTGACAATATGCAAGTATATAAATGTAATATATAAATAGTTGGTTAATAGTGAATCAATAACTTTAAATGATTTTTGTACCCTATTTAGTGATATAGTTGGATTTAAAAAATTTTTAAGACAAGTTTATATGTTTATGAAACTTTACCTTTTTCATGAAGAGAAAGATTTTTTTCAATTTCCTATAGCGGCATCTATCCAAAATCCTAAAAATCTTTCATCCCTCAATGATGCAAAAATCACTTACAAACCAAAACATAAAAAAATTTTCTTTCTTTTAAAATCTTTTCATTAAGCAAAATTATTGCAATATAATAAAAG